ATCAACATTCTTTCTACGAGGAATACAGAATGTCATGAAATGAATGATCTTACGAATCACTGCATTCATTCTTATCGTAATATTTTATATGAATTCATGATGAATGCTCTCTTAGCGATCAACGAAATAATTTTGTTTAAATTTTTGTAATATTTAACCCTGAACTACCATACCGATGCCATAAGTGACTCCGACATTGTATATCTATTTCATTTTGTAGTAAAAATTTGATTTTCTATGTTTTTATTACTTTATAGTGTAGGTAAGAATAAAATAGCAAAATGGATTATTCATCTACAATTAGATTAATGCATTCTTTCAAATTTTTTATTTGAAGTTTATCATGATCCCAGTCATTTTTATAAAAATCACTATACCCATTAAGAGCTAATGTGATTTAATGAATATTGAAATAATATTTCATGAATCAAATTCGGGCTAAATTAACATCCAATTAAGGGAAGAAACTATATACTGCATAATAATGTGTAGAACAAAACTAGAAACATTGTTTGGATTATGTTCGCAATGTATGTAAATGCAAAACTTTCTAAAAATTAAGAAAAATCGATTATACTATAATACCAGTATTCATTAGATCCATTAAATCGATGCACTAACGAACCTTTTAGGAAGTAATCCAAATAATTTCCTTATCGGAAGAATGTTAATATATTGGTAAATGTTAAAAGATGATTTCGCCAAGATAAGTAGTCCCAGCTCTCAGGGTTTGAATCATGAAGAACGCACAGTATGGGAGTCTTACCCGTAACCATATTTTCTTTTTTTCTTTTTAGAAAAGTAAAACTTGCTTATATTTTGCATATTATAAAATAGTATTATGTAAAACAAATTAATGTTGAAGTTTGTTTCGTTAAGTCTTTTAACTGCTTCTGTTAAGACAAATAAACATTGAATTACAACTGTTACAATACTTGTGCGTTATTCAGGTAACGTTTAAGTTCTATTGTATCTGTAATAATGTGTGGTATCGAGTGGAAGGAGTGCGGTGATAGATTTAATGAACTCATCGTGTGTTTTTACACCTGCAGAGAAAAGATGCAGCAGTCATATTATTGATTTTAAACGAAGTTTTTGTGATAAAACAGATTAAAAATAAAATGATACACCATCCAATATACTTTCACATGAATGTGCACTATTTATAGAAATATTTCATAACAAAGTTCTGAGATATATGAACAGTGCAGTTTTTTCTTTTTATTTTTAGTAATAATTTTATTTAGTATTTTGTTATGAAACATAATTATTCTGAAAAGACACGAGAGAGTTTAGATCTTGTTATAAATGATTTTTAATTATAATAATATAATATGTAATATTGTTTCTATAAATCATTGAATTTCATTGAAAAAGATGAGCAAATTTTAAGTATAGTATTATCCATTTAAAAGTAAAACAGAGATAAAACATATTAAGATTTTGGTAAATGTGTGGAAAGATGAAAATCGCTAGTACAATCATGACTTGGATCTATATTGTTAAAATCATCGTCTTGAGTCTTCCACTTCGAAGTATTTGACAGATACTTTGTACTTGACATGTACGTTTTATAAGATGTATCTTGAGTCAGCTTTGAATCAAAATAAAAACTTGCGCTATAATTTTTGAATGAAATGAGACCACATATTGTTTCTAGTGCTTCCCCTGCAAGACGATGATCTTAACATATGTTTATGAAAATTTGTCAGAGAAAATCAGTGCTTTTAGTACTAACATTAAAATGAAATAACTTTATAATTATCATAAGTAAAAGAAACATGTTACTTTCTATTCTAAACTCATCATAAAAAGTAAGATCGTTGAAATCAATGATGCACAACTGCTACATCTTCTACTTATTTTTCTCATTAAGTTCACTTCTACATTAACACTCTGGGGATGGATCTTTCCATTCAAATACAGTGGTAGGTACAAAGCTTGTACGCATCAAGGTCGTAGCATCGATGAAAGCTGATTCTTAAAGTTTAATTTACGATTCACTTTATTTTGAGATTCGGTATAAGGTGTTAAAGATGTCCTGGAACTATCAAAATCAACAACTAAGTTTAGGTGGGACACTCTCTATATCAATGATAAAAAGTGGTCGTCTGATAACAGCTTTAATAATATCGATTCATTTGCACAAAATTTGATCCAACTTGTGGAGTTAGTTGACGATTATTGGATAATTGGGATTTCATCGTACAATATATTACTGCACATAATTCGTCGTAAGTTGGCAGTCCGTAATATCATATTCTGAAGAATATGAAATAAACGAAAACGAAACCATTTATTCAAATGGATAGAACGAACTCTTTACTTTAAGTATTTATAATATACAAACATATTTAAATATCAATTTATCCTAAAATAGGTGCCGAAATTTGAAATAACAAGAAACTGCACTTATTTTTGTACAAACATAATAAAATCTAATTTCGGAAGAAGAAAGAATAGAAGTGAAGGAATATTCAGACGTGGTAAAAATGAAACCTTCATTTCCATTCTGATATAGTAAAATCCATTTAATTATCGAAAGATCATTAAAATAATAGTAGCGACTTGTACATAAACCATATAGGAATAATATTACTTATAATTCGAGTTCAATGCATCTGGTAAATCTTCTTTTTGGCTTATATGGTTGTAAATTTCAAGTGATATTTTTTAAAATACTTTTTGTAAATGCTCATTTTCCAGAAGTGCCGCAAAAGGAAGAATGGTATATTTTAAAGAACTTATATGTAAAGTGACACATCTTCGCTAATGCTAAATAATTTCAAATTATTTATAGAAACACAATGTCTTGTCAATAACAGAAACATAAAATTAAAATAATCATTTTTTTATGTATGTCAAGAACATTTATGAAAGCAAAATGATTTAATTAGAAATCGATAGAAATGTTATTAGGAAATAGTTTGATCGAAGTGAAAATGGAGCATTACAATATGCCTTTCGATTATATATTTATTATTACAAATGGCAATATAGACCTTTACTTAAAGTTAATTTGTCTTATACACATAACATACATCTATCTTTGTCTCTTAGTTACCGCTATGTCCTGCGGCCCGGCGTAGTAAAACATATATCTTTTCTTTAATCCAATCTTTGTTATATGGAGCGTACGTATTTGTAGATTTTTGATAGACAAGACATGATAAATCTGTAAGTTGATCAATAAAATCAAATAATTGACTGATGTCATACGTAATAGTTGGAGTATCTGGGTTCCGCCTCTTTAAATGCTCCTCATAAATCTTGCACACCCCTATGTTAAAGAAACAATCGAATATAATTTCACAAATTCATTACAAATAACTTTTATAGTACATTATGAATGCTTCCGCAACAGCGCCAATGGAATTCAAAGAGTTAATTTCAATTTAAAAAATCTGTTATAAAATTATCTATACTGTCTTAACGCAACCTTCAAAACCGTATATATAACAAAACTTTATACTTTTTATTATAATAAAACTGTTATACTAAAAAATAAGAAATGATAAAATATTATATTACCTTCCATACATTCATTAATGCTTTCATAATCAGAATATGTCCGTGTTTCGGGTCTATTGCCTGGCTGAACCAGCAATATTGTATGAGACTAAAATCAAAAAACAAATGTACGGTACATTATTTTCTATTATATTCATTAAAAATTACAAAAGCTGATTTGTTTTACACATTATTATCTTTTTTAATAGAAAAAAATGATTAAATCTTATTCTATTTATAAAAATTTAAAAATATTTATATTGATTAATGTGTAGTGTAACTTCTGTTACAAAATTAATATAACATGGAGTTTCCAATGATCAGATTCGTTAGAAAATTGTGAATGAATAATACGTAAATGTTTAACATGCACTAAAAATAATCAAAACAAAAGTATGGTTACCATCGCTGCGTTTAGCCGGTGACTATACTACGAAGAATACTCCGTATTTATTTAACTTTGCTAGTTAAGCGAAAATTACGTGACCAACGTTTACATGTGTTCCATCAAATTCACGTGCTGTGGGCATCGATATTTGGAATAAGCTAAATTTATATCTTCGCCAGTAAACATCAACAAATAACCATTTCTGCACCCGATTCGAGAAAAATCTAGTGTAGATGGTGTAGGTTGAGAGGTTTATTTCTGTTAGAAATTGTATAAATTAGTAGCGATTAAGAACTGCAAAAGAATTGAAAATTGGATTCTTCAAAAAAGAAATGTGGAAATTCGAAATATTATAAAAAATGTATTATACGATATCGGCCAGTACATATACTGTAAATACACTCCGAAGATCACGAATCATAGCGAGCAAACATTCTAAAGTAATATAGATGGAGCGCCAGGCAAACGGATGCGCGAATAGAGTGAGACCGCAGGCATGGTAAAGTAAGACAAGCTACATTGGTCGTCGGTGTGACTTGTTTCGCTTGTGGTTGTGCCGATGTCACGTTCTCTTACTTACTCGTCACTTTCTCTCTTTGTCTAAAACTATGAGAACAGCACCGTTCAACTGTGAAGCGTCAACCAATCAGAGGAGAAGCAACTTCTCTACCTGTTTCATAATTCTAAGCCGGTTGCCCTCGCCTTGGCTTACTATGGCGAGGCACTACTGTATACGGCACGCAACATGTATAAACGTATATATAAACATTCATTTTAGAAATTTAGAATTAAAATATTTAACACTATCTAAATATAGTACAAGACAACGAATAAACATTTGTTAATCACTGCAATAATTAATTAGTGAATGCTTTAGACAAATTTAATGTAAAATAAGAGTTTTTGTATTTTTATTTGAAATCTCGATTTGATTATAGTTTGGAAATTTCAGGAAATCTTCAAAGTATTTATCTCAGCTTTCCTACATAAAACATAGTATTATTAAAAAAATCTTCGGATGACCTTGATATCTCGAAAAAAATGACCTTGAGGAAATTTGTCGTCTAATACAATTTCTGCCCCTTTGAACCAAACACCCTCGTCCTACGATATTTTTTCCTAAAAAATTTCTAAACATAAGCGAAATATTTACTATGCTTAAGTTAGGTGGGACACCCTCTATATCAACGATAAAAAGAGGTTGTCTGATAACAGCTTTAATAACATCAATTCATTTGCACAAAATGTGATCTAACTTGTGGAGTTAGTTGAAGATTATCGAATAATTGGGCTTTCATCGTTCAGTATATTACATTTAGAACATTTATGAAAGCAAAACAGACTTAATTAGAGATTGATAAAAATGTTATTAGGAAACAGTTTTATCAAAATGAAAATGGAGCATTACGCTATGCCTTTCGATTATATATTTATTATTACAAATGGCAATATAGACCCTTACTTAAAGTTAATTTATCTTATACGCATGGCATGTATCTATCTTCGCGCCTTAGCGACAACGCTGCCTGTCCTGCAGCCCGGTGTAATAAAAGATATATCTTTTCTTTAATCCAATCTTTGTTATGCGGAGCATATGTATTTGTGGATTTTTGATAAACAAAACATGACAAATCTGTAAGTTGGTCAATAAAATCAAATAATTGACTGATGTCGTACGTGATAGTTGGAGTATCTAGGTTCCGCCTCTTTAAATGCTCCTCATAAATCTTGCACACCCCTATGTTAAAAGAACAATTGAATATAATTTCACAAATCCATTACGAAAATCAACGTAACAATTTTAAGAAATAGTCACTGTAAGTATGCATGATTTCTATGATATATAATAAATTTTTAATAATAACGTAAATGTGTCAACCCTTAACACTGCAAACATTCCTTGACGTCATCGGCAATTTCAACTTTTACAGTGAAGTTCTAGAAAACCAAAAATTCTTATTTTGGAAGGATAAATTGAAAATTTTTTAAAATTTATTTACTCTCATCAGTTTACACTCTTTTAATGTAAATAAACATAGTATCACCATTATTATCAATACGATAGCTTTTATAGTACACTATGAATGCTTCCGCAGCAGCGCCAATGGAATTCAAAGATATAATTTCAATTGAAAAGATCTGTTATACAATTATTTACACTGTCTTAATGCAACCTTCAAAACCGTATATATATATAAAATACTTCTTTCATTATAATAAAACTGTTAAATGAAAAAATGAGAAATGATAAAATATTATATTACCTTCCATACATTCATTAACGGTTTCATAATCAGAATATGTCCGTGTTTCGGGTCTATTGCCTGGCTGAACCAGCAATATTGTATGAAACTGAAACCAAAAAATAAATATATAGTATGTTATTTTCTATTATATTCTTTAATAGAGAAAAATGATTAAATCTTATTCTATTTATAAAAATTTAAAAATATTTATATTGGTCAATGTGTATCGCAACTTTTGTTACAAAATTAATATAACATGGAGTTTCTAATGATCAGATTCGTTAGAAAATTGTGAATGAATAATGTGTAAATGTTTAATATGCAATAAAAATAATCAAAACAAAAGTATGGTTACCATCGCTGCGTTCAGCCGGTGACTATACTACGAAGAATACTCCGTACTTATTTAACTTTGCTAGTTAAGCGAAAATTACGTGACCAACGTTTACATTTGTTCGATAAAATTCACGTGCTGTGGGCGTCGATAATTGGAATAAGCTAAATTTATATCTTCTCTAGTAAACATCAACAGATAACCATTTTTGCACCTGATTTAAGAAAAATCTAATATAGATAGTATAGGTTGAGAGATTTATTTGTTAGAAATTGTATAAATTAATAGCGATGAAGAATTGCAAAAGAATTTAAAATAAGGTTCTTTAAAAAAGAAATATGGAAATTCGAAATATTATAAAAAATTTATTGTACGATGTCAGCCAGTACAGGTACTTTAAATATACTCCGAAAATCACAAATCATAGTGAGGAAACATTCTATGGTAATACAATGTTGTAAAATTTGAAGATTTTCTATCTCAGCGCCGTCAACGGTGGACTGATGAACTTTTAGTAACTTGATGTGAGTTCGTAGACTATATTAGTAATGCTCAATCAATGACGAGAATATAAGAATCTAGGGTGGGGGGCGTCAACTCTATAGGGAAAATTAGGGGCACTTTTTTGGTTGCCATCTGAGCTAGCTAAAAACTTAGCGAACTAAAATTCAATATGGCCGCCCACTTGCATGCGCATTCGGTGAAGACTACGGATAATTGGATCCCAAATTATTGAAGTTACACTGTATTTATAAATAACATTTTCATTAATTATATTAGCTGAGTTATAAACGTCCAATAATTTACATTGTGATAACATAATACATATGTATATGTCAGACATCATAGTTCTAGAACTATTTTTCTATTCGCAATATTTTAGCGAGAATAGCATTAGAACTATCAAATATTTTATTAAAAAATAATATAATAGTAATTTAATAATAATAGAAATTTACATAGTTGTTATAAGTAATAGGAAGTAATTCTGCAGTAAATGTAAGTTTTCATTGAAATACAATACTTGCATCATAAAAACAAGTTCACCGATACAACAAAAGTAATAATTGATTATTTCTAATATTATTTTTTATTAAAAAATTACTATTTTACGCTGATATTATATCCAGCTTAACTAAATTCTTGGTAAGCAAAACGTGTTTGTAC